ACTAGACCTCAGTTATTCCCAAATGGAAAGCCAAGGGACTGAGCGGGCCAGTGGGGAGCCTGGGGCACACCGTCACTCACTTTGCTGGGACGCTTCTGGGTGCAGAAGGTATTCCAGACTATGCACCTATTCAGTGGCATCATGCCAGCAGCACAAAGTTTGTGTGCACTTTATTATCACACTGTACCTGGGACTATGAATAAAGGAGACACACCAATAACAGTTGTGTTTCCTACTCAGAGGCAGACTGAGTGTTCAGTAATAAATGTTACATATGGCAAATGCCAGTTTGCTACTATTTTACCTATATTGTACATGCATGCAGGTGTGTTTCTAACACTATTCATATAGTCTGTTGCAGACTGCCAAAAGCATTAATAATTTTGCACTATAAAATGTACAGTGCAAGATAAATATCTGATGCTCATAGTTGTGCATTTAGGGTTTTCATTAAAGTGTACTGAATTATTAGAGGTTTTCTGGAAAGAAAACTCCAAAATGTCAAAGAACTGTAGAGCCTAGTTTTTTATGTGTACATAGCTCAACTTTAATTTTTTCCTCACCAAACTAAAATAATGACTGATTATCCTAGGTGATTTCCATTTAATTTAAGGTATAATACAGAGGGATTGCCCTTACAAAGTTTCTAATCTCGCTAGTTTAGCAAATGTTTTCTGTAGCAAGTACAATCCACTTTCAGTCATCACTGATCTGTCGAACAAGACTCAGGAATCTCCAGAGTCTCCAGCTTAACAACTCAGGTTATGAATTACAAGGTCATCCACTCAGGTTCAGTCCCTAGACACAACTGAAGTTACTGTGTTGTTGTTGGTTTTTTGTTTGTTTGTTTGTTTGTTTGTTTTAATACTTAAAATTGAAAAAAAAAAAAAAAGGTCTAATTTAATAAACAGAAAGTCACTTGGATGTAATTAAGAAAAAATAACAATGAAAATTAATCTTAATTTTCTAAAACATCAGACGAGAAGGGAAAATAACATTTTCTTCTTTCTAAATCATTCAGAGACCAGAGCATTGGCCTTGGGTGTAGAAGACCCATTTCAGATCTATTTTCTGTATCGATCAGAACAACAAATCTATACCGCAGTCTCTCCCTTTGCAGTTGAACACGTTAATCAGTACATTGTAGGATATTCTGAGAAACATTTCCCTCATTCTTGCATGTCGGAACCACTGTACTGAGGTACATAATTACATACAAACTCATCACAACTGAGAACAAGAATGGAAGAACAAGGATTCCTGGTGGCAAGGGGTCCTGGGCTGGGGGGGGATGCAAACTCAGTCCTCTCATGGAAAAGATTTGCACTTGAGGATCCTGACATTCTGGAGTAATTTGCAAGCCTCCGAGCTACTGATATAACCAAGAATATATGTTTTACAGTGACATGTTTTACTTTTGTAGATGATCTGACTTGACAGACTCCCCCCACATTCATAGGCTAGTAGTTTCAGGAAAAGCAAACCCACAGTTTTTATTTTATAGCTTGGACCATGAAAAATGAATCACCCTCTTCTCCTGAAGAAGTACCAATGCTTCATGTACAGAAAACTTCATTCCCACCTTTATCTCACAGCTTCTTTGTTGTGCCTGACTTATATCTCTGGCATCCTGCTGTTTTGGTGCTTCTGCTCTGGGATTAGCTGCTGAAAGTCAGGCATGCCTGCAGAGCACAACGCTGCTGTCCAGTGCTTGTGCACAGAACTGATGGTTTATCAGCAGCACTGCTCCAAGAGGGAGCAAACTTAGTAAGAGAAATCTCAGTGTTTCCTGCTCTGTCCTCACTTTTTTATTTTTTATTTTATTTATTTTTTTTTTAATTTTTATTTTCCTTACATCTGCCTGAAGCTTTCTATTTCTCTCCTAGCAGCCATCTGCTTACATACTTTTTACCATAACCAATTCCTGGTCTGTTGTCTGCTTAAACTCCCAACCTACTTATTGAAGCTTGCGAGGCATGATGGCTGGGAAAACCCTGGCTCTCAGAGGTCCCAGATGTACTGCTTTACTTTCTGTGCTCTTTTTCATTGACATAGGCTCATTTATTACTATAGAACTTCCTGTTAAACACCTCCATGGGAAAAAGTAGAATTATCATGTATAATGTTGTCATGTATAATGTTGTTTTATAGATCGACCTATTTAGACAACACACAAATCACACTGCAACATGCTATGGCAACACCACCATGCAAAAAATTGGGGTTTTTGTTTCAAATGTTGGGATAGTTTCCTTTGTGGCTGTTTATTCACTTTTTAGTCTTTACTGGCTTTGTCACATTGAATTAAAATTTGTTCCAGATTACAGTGGATTCAAAGCATATTACAGGAAGCCTTTACCTATAAGAAAGCAGTTAAGGATTACAGTTTTGTTTTAACATGTGAGATATTCCAACAGCCTCACAAAACTTTGTTCTTTCACTGCATTCTTTTCTTTTTCTGATTACTGGAAAGTATATATAATTTAAATACTTGAGGAAATACTCTTAAGCCCCATTATATGGGATGCAGTTCCTGAGAACTGCTTCTCCTTCCCTAGAAACTAAAAAACAAAAACCATGATCTTTGCTGAAAGCTCTCATATTTTTCATTTCAATGCACACAGCTCCACTAACCAGGTCACAGAAAAAGCCACAGACGCACACGCACACACAGCAGCATCAACTGCACAATTCAACAAACAATGCAGACAAACTTGAGTATAATCCAAGATCTTTCTACCTCTTTTCATAACAGGTTAGTGCTCGCCCTCAGTGTTGGTGTACAGTTTTTATGGCATGGGAAAATAGGGATGTTTCTGCCCTACAAAAATAAATGCGTTGAATGCTTTAGTTGGAACTTTCACAATGTTAAAAAAAAATCCAAAGAAACTGGATAAGTAAAAAGAATCCCACATTTCAGGAAATCAGTGGATCTTTTGTCTGATGGCAACAGGATGCCCACAGCAAATTCACCGGCCTTCTGTTTTTTTTGTTTTTTTTTTTTTTTTTTTACCTTGGTGAAATATCTTTCCAAACTTATTATTAAAAAAAAAAAAAAAAAAAAAAAGAGTCAGTTCCTGTAGTCCATAATTAAAATAAAATCCCAATCAAACCCTTGTTCCTCATCAGCATCATTTCTTTGGTCCTGAAGAAGCTGTGCTAAACATTAAAGAAGATAGAATTATTAGAGTTTATTTCCCCTGTGCCAAATTACAAAAATGGGACAAACTCTTTTTTAGTAAAGCAAAAAGGAGAGAGGAATGAAATCCAATGTATTCAACCTGTATCAGGATTATTAGTTTTTTTTTGGGGGGGGAAGCACCAGAAAAAGGAACAACATTAAGCAGGTTTTCATGGATTCTTTACTACAATTAAAAAAAAAAAAAAAAAAAAAAAGGAAAAAAAAGATGAATTATTTCATGCTTCTTAATGTAAAAAGCATGGCTCCCAGAGGTCCATTCCTCCATGTGTGACTATAGAGGTCAGTGGTAAAGGGGCTAGGGAGGAGGGGTTCTAATGAAAGCACGTTATAAAGCTGTCATTCCCAGGAAAATTCATAAACTGTACAAACTGTGATAAATACACTTTTAACTGTCAGGTTAGAGAAGCAAAAAGGGAAAGGAAGGATCAGTGAGGGGGAAGGGAGAAGGATGTCCCATCAGGTTTACTAGTCTTCCGAGGCAACAAACTTACCACATTGCGTGTGAATTTCTCAAAAGATGTTCGACGATCCAGTGTGTTTTCCAACTTAAATTTAAAATAAAATAAAAAAAAAGGAAACAAAAAGAAAAAAGAAGGGGAAAAAGAAAAGCAAGAAAAATGGAGTAGAAAAGGATCGATGAAACAATGGACTGCAAAACAAAGTTTGTATAAATCAGGAAGCAAACACAGGTATGAAGCTGTAATGTGACTCTGCAAAACAGTGGATGGGCAAAGCAGATATAGTTTTTGACAAAAAAATCATTTTTCATGGGGATCAAAATGGTTTACTTTAAAAGAAAAACTGAAAATAAAAAGAAATAATGAAGTGCACATCTTGTGTTAATGAACTGACAATCACAAACTTAAGGACTTCACACGGACAGTTGTAGCATTCTGGTATTTTCAACATCTCTTTCTATATTGGATCTTCAGAAATCAATGTTTGAACAAAAAACAAAATCACACAGTGCTTTCATATAATTTTAGGTCGTCATTATAAACAATAGAATGCTACAGCACTAATAACTACCTTATTCCAGTAATGACAGGGCCCTGATTTTGCAGGCTCCCAGATGATTGTAGGATATCACTATTTAGAGCCCACTAATAAATTATTTATCCTTATAGAAATCTGCATTCCACAAGCTGCTTCACATACTCTTGGCTATGTCTATTTGGAACTCATTCCATAAACTGGAATTTTCTAAGCAAATATTACATACCAAGACATGAGCCTCTGTTTGCAGAAGTGTGACATGATCAGTCTTTCAAGTCAGATTCCTAGCCTATTCAGAACTATTCACGTAATAATAGGGAAAGAAACAGAATTAGGAAGCCCCTATTTTTATAGTTGAAATTAGAAGTTATTCATATGAATGAGACTGGTTCTAAACACATTTTGTAATTTTTACAGGTGGAATAAAGAGAACAACAAGTATTACATAAGCAAACTTGCAAACATGAAAGACTATTCTTCTGGGATTTTATTTAATTTTTTAATGTATTTGTAAAGCACTTTGCAATTTAAGGTGCTTCATAACAGAGAAAGCAGTACAATATGGGATGTAAAAATAAAAATAAGTTTTGCTAGATAAACTCACTTAAACATGCCCACATGCAGGATATATACACATATATGTATATCGAACTCCTGTGTGTATGTGACCCTCCAAACACGCCAAGTTGGTCACCTACCAGATATCCAGTTGCACTGGCACAGGGGAGAGAAGACTGAGTATTGTTGCAAACATAACCACTGCTTTGCACAGTGGCAAGACAAAGGCAAGATGGACCAATACCTTTTTCTTGGCCTGTAGCAGCTCCTGGTAGGCACTGGATCGTATAAAACGAGGATAAGAATCACTTTTCATCAGTTTGTAAATGTGCTCCTGAAAGGGAAAGAAGGTGGTGTTACTCCCATAAAGGAAGATATGAGTAAAATGGGAAGCAATCACATCTGCAAAATGTATATCAGCTAGCGCTACTTTGAATGGGAAGTCCTTTGTGATGGGAGGTTGCAATTCTGCAGCTAAGGCTGAGTTGCTGACTGTTGCTAAAGCAGAAATCACAACTATTTGTAATATTGATATGAATATATTGATATTGATATATTAATACAGCACACGTTTCTTTAACTTCTTGTCCCTATTTTCACTATAGAATTATCTTCTCTGAGCATTTACAACTGAGTCCTTGCTTCAGGCCCAGTCTCAAACCTCCCTTACATTAGTCAGTTCAGTTAAGTGACAAAATCAGGAGCCTTGAACCTTCTTTCCCAACAGATTTTCTGAACTCATTTCTGGAGATGCTTTTCTGACTTGATAGGCTGGAAAAGGAGCCAGGTTTCTAATTTAGCACAACAGATAAGTGTTTAACCTATGGGGGGATGTCCCTTGGCTTCTCTTGAAAGCATTATTTGAGATGTTTATTCTGCTATCCAGCTGATAATATAAAAAGGAAAATGCATATGCAAATTGAAAAGTAGTTCCAGGCTTATCTAATTTCCAATATATTTATTCTTCAGATGCATATTAAAATCTGGAAACCCTACTCCAGGAAAAAATGACACAAGCAGTTTATAGAGCTTTTCTTCTTGGAGTATGTTCATCTCTGTAAAATTAAAACTAAACTAAAATAAAAACACTAAAATCTTTAATGTAGGACACTTTATAATCTTGTTCTGGATATAATCTTAGAAGAAGGATTTTTAGAAAAAGAAATCTAAGCATAAAATACTTTCACAAAAATATTTTTAAAAATCTACTGGATTGTGTTAGGGTTTTTTGTTGTTGTTGTTGTTTTTGTTTGTTTGTTTGTTTGTTTTCCTTTCACTTAAGCCCTACCTTTTACTACAAGAAACTTGTAGCACAGCAATCAGGAAAGAACAAATAAACTGTGTAAAGTAAATACTGCTTAGCTTGCTGCTGGATATAATTAATAAAAAAATAATAATAATAAAATCACATTGCAAATTATGGCAGGGCAAAACTAAAGCTGATTTTTAATCTTTGTTTTGTTAGAAATTCCGGAGAATAATTCTAAGTGCCTTTCATTGTATTTTCTACACTAAGCTTAGAAAATCTGGTATATATTCAGAATTTAGGCTTGTTCATTTGGGGGAGTTTTAATTCTGTTCAGTTTCTATGAGAACTGACAATTCAACCAACTGAGAGCAAAAAGAACTCTGGTACTGTTGTACATATCAGTGATGCTGAGCATTAAAATGTTATACCTGTTCAAAAATCAACCCTGTAAAAGCAAGTAGAAATTAGGTTGTATTAGTATTGTTAATGTACAATAAGTCAGGAATTGAGTCAGGTTATTATTTAGCACAATCAGTCTGTTTTTACTTAGGTATCACCCTCATTTGATGTGGAGTTCCATGGGGTCATCTTTCAGTCCAGAAATGCTTTTTAAAGCATTTATAGCACAGTTAAATGACTCACTGACTGCCAAATGACTTGTAAGTGGTCCCTTTCTCAAGAGGCAGAGCCCTGCTCCTGACAAAACTGTCACATCAAGTGGGGCACAGTGCAAAACTCCTAAAGCTTTGAGTTGGAGTGTGGTGAGTATGGTCTGTTCCCTTTTCTCTGTGGGATGGAGGCTCCCTGGTTGAAGTTGTACACTGAACTGGATCAAACATGCAGAAGCCTGACAGAAGGAAAAAGCTTGCATAAAGATCTCATGCTCAACTTCCATAAATTAATGGGGGAAAAAAAACAGATCTGAAAGTAAAATGGTGTTGAAATTTTACACCTATTTATTTTTATGAAACAAAAATTGGATGTTGGCAAATAATTTAATTTTCCTTTACTGAGTCAACTGCAAAGACAAATTTTCTTTCCAACCTTTAAGCTTGCTGGAGTGTTTATTTGTGCAACATGTCCTTACTGTTCACTACTTTCCTAAATCTCCAGTGGCTCAGTAGATGCAAGCAAAACCTGCATGTTTGGCTTAATGCACAGTGTGTATGATATAGTGTCTAATAACAATATTTTTGTTGCATCATAGGTTGCTATTCTAATAGCAAAATGAGAGCACACAGATTTACTTTTTTTCTTTTTAAATTAGTAGAATTATTCCCCCTCCTATTTAAGACAGAGACACTTTCCCAAAAAGTAGAAAGACCAGATTCAATTCCCTTCTCTGCTTTGTGGGACTTGCATCTCCTGACTCCCAAGATGATGTCCTAATAATCAAGTTGTAGAAAATTCTGCAGGGATATGATCTCAATCTCCTTTTGACATCATTTCACTTTGCATTAATAATTAAATTTTCATCACCGGGCTGCTGCTGACACTAGTTCTATGATTTTTACAGTGAATCCAGTTATTTGCTATTGCTTTTCTCAGAAGCTTGCAGATATGAAATATTAAGTTATGAGTCACATGAAGTGTCTCATTTAATATTTAAGTGCTTGTGTTTTCTTTTTTTCTGTTTGTTGTTTTTGTTGCTTGTTTCTTGACAAAATCTGAGATTTGTATTTTACTGTTTTGTTTTGTTCTTAACTTTATCTTCCATCTCAAAAAAAAAAAAAAAAAAGTACTTTCACAAACCTAGCTCTGACCAAAAATATTTTTTGATTATGATATCCTGATATTCAAAAATTGAATAAATCAAAATTCCAAAAGGCTAATCAGGTGTTTACAGACTGTTCTTTACTCCAATAATGCTGCTTATTGAAGAATACATCTTTATGACCTTTGCCTGATGTTCGTAAAATGACAGTTTAGTAAGGAACAGAAAATACAACATCCATGGAATGTGATATTTCTGCACGAGCCATTACAAAGTGTTATTTCACATAGGTCATATTTTTTCATGATGGAAACCTCTTACTAGTATAAATGACAACAACAGTTTTAGACATGCATTGAGAGAATAGACATTGAGCCTGTATCAAGGGAAGTCCTTCGGAGACAGATCTTGAAAACTAGAAATTGTTGTGCACAGGGCAAAAGTTTTTCTCTTTATGTAACTGAATAAAAAGATTAAGAAAACAGGAACATGAAAATATCATTTTCATAGCAATATATGCTCTGCTCAATTTGAAGACTGCTTGAAGATTCTACTCCAGGAAAAAAAGTTTCATGAAAAGCATTAATAATTTATAGGCCTCAAGAAACAAAGAAATGTTACTCATTTGAATTTCCAAAATGTCATATTAGAAAACAGAGCATTACCATTTAATTCCCAAATATATCTTATTTTATCTATATACATTTCAATAGCAAATATTGTGTTTTATATGTCCCTAAACAGGATTGCAAACTAACCTGAGCATCTTCAAATGTGTATCTTCCAGGGTCCTTTACATTCTGCGTGGTTTTGTCATAACTTTTTGAATCTAGATTGATGGCACTGGGTGCACCTGGAGCAAGAAATTCTTGCCAGATTTCTTGAACACGAGCAGGAACTTCACGGATAGGCCTCTTCTTCAGGTCTTCTACCGCTAACCAGAACCTATGGTACAATATAGCATCTTGACTTCCAGTTCAGTATGATCACTAATGAAACAGTAACACTCTTCTTTGCTCTTAAAAAAAGTAACAAGAAAAGTAACTGAAGGTTTCATCTAAAATGCCCTAAAATAGGCAAAATCTATACATTTATGCTGGGATCATAGAACTGGTATATTGCATCAGGCAATCCCGCTGCCTTAAAAAGCCTTCATGAGACACGTGAGAAATCCTTCATTACTTATGTATGGATAACTTGCTTACAGGAAGGTTTCCATCAGACTGGAATTAAACTGAGGTTTCATTTCACTTGAGCCACAAGGGCTTATATCACTAATAAACCTATTGCTTTTTGACATTACTTCAGAAGCTAATAAGAACTTATGTTCTTGCTATCTACATAAATCAGTCTTGCTAAACTATAAACTGTATAACTGTATCTGTAATTTTGTTACTTATACACCACAAATGATGTATAAACCAGAAAAGAATTTCTTTTGCCTGCTGTAATTTCTATTATTTCTCCAGTAATGCATTTCTATACATATCTTTTACTACAATGCTGAATGGAAGTGGCAATTCTTTTTTCTCTTCTGGTGCAGTGCAAGCCAGCATCAAGCAGCCGTGTACAGTGCCAGCCATTTCATGGTATCCTTCCATCAGTCTGGAGGAGGTTCACAAAAGAAAGGCTTGATCACATACATCTCTAGCTATGAGCTTTGTTACTCAGTTGTCAATTGCTATCATGAGCTCTTTATTGTTATCTCTTCTATAGGTGTTCAAACTCACTGCGCAAAACAATTCTAAATTCAGTCAGGATCCCATGCTTAGACATGGTGCAGACCACTTACACAGATTTTATTTATTTTCTTGCCTTAGAGAGCTCAACTAAAGTATGACTTTTCTCACATTATATATCCAATATACACCACTGCAGCTTTTCCGTGTTGTTTTGACATGGCTGACCCTGCAAAACAGGTCAGCTGAACCTTGAAGTGAGTTAACTGTGAAACAACTCAGATTTTAGAAGGCTGACAATTAATTTAGGTGTACCTTTAAAATGTGTCTCAACCCTGCTTATGCTATGAGATCAAACTGAGCTCTCCTAGCTTAGTTATATAGGGAATGGTTAGGAAAGAGGAACCATGGAATGGTATTCAGGCCTCCAAGAAAGCCAAATGATACTACCCTCAGTCCAAATCCTAATACAGCTACTGCACCAACTCTTAAGAGAGGACAGTAAAACACAACAAAGAAAACCTTATAGTACTTCTCCTATAAGACATTCTTCAATTGAGATGATTTACCTTCTGGGAAGCAATTAATCCATCACATTCCTGTTTTGAAACTCCGTTGTGGCACAGATGGATGGAGCCCATGCTCATCACTTGCAAGTCACTACAGTCAGCTTCACTCTGCTGAGCTGACTTTTATATTTTTCTACACCCTCCAGTTTCTGTAGTACCTTTCTGTAGCACAATTTTTCAGTCTAACAATCCCTTAAGATTCTCCAAGAGATAGTGAAGTAATATTGCTCCAGTTTTGCAAATACATTAATAATGTACAGTGTTCTCAACAAGGCCACAAAGAGAGTCAGTGCCAACACAGAAACTTTTTTTTTTTTTTTTTTCCCCAAAATTCTGGGTGCCACCACATACCTCTGTGAACTACAGTGTGAGTTGGCCACAGATCTGCACAGAGCCTGGGGACATATCCTCAGAATCTGATGGCATTGCAGGAAGAATAGAAGTCTCATAACTCAAGTTCTAAAACTGCACAGCTCACAAACTCTAACTCAGTTCACTCTGTCAAGTTAGGGCAACCTACTTTGGTTTCCTTAAGCTGCTTTCAATATTTGCATTTAAAAGTGTATATCCTGCAGTGCCTACCCCTTCAAATGCATCTTCTGGGACTGAATGATTACTCATGTGTATTGAAGTCAGGTAAGGAATAGAAAAATGAAAGGGAAAGAAGTTATTTGTAAACACACATTTTCTATCACCCTGTAGACATCTCGAGTATCTAGCTCAAAACTGTCACATTCTTGTTTGTTGCTTTATATCATTGCCAATATTTCTGGAAGTCACCACAAACATGCCTCAGGATGCTATTTTGTTTTGCAAGTAAACTGTTTCCATATAGTAGGCTCAATTATGGGAAAATAGATGGGAAAAAAACCTGAACTTTGAGAAAATATGCAGCTTCCAGTATGGAATAAAAAGGTTGTATAGATAACGTGCTTAGCAGCTGAACACCAGGTCTTTAATAAATTAATTTTATTTTACTCTTCTAACGTCAGCATTCAAAACAAAACAAAACAAAACAAAAACAAAAACAAAACACCCTATTGAAAACGTGAGTCTTTAAATATAGAAACCTCTTTAAAAGTAGGAAGAAAATGCTGATTTTTGCAATATGTTATGTCTAGGAAGCTTATTTCACAGCCAACATCCAGTTCAAAATCTTAATCTACTTACTGAGCTTTCAAGCAAAAATGTCTGCCTTCCTCCCACAGAAGAGTTAAAGTCAAATGTGCAAAGTTATGAAATGCCAAAAATAAGGCTGCTACCTCTTGCATTTTCAGAAATAACATTTCTGAATATCACATGGCAAGCAAAAGCACAGATTGTTGAAAGCAGATGAAATGGAGTCTGTAAGACTTGGTCCCAGACCAAAAAAGCTCCCTGTCCCCTTTTATAGCTCTCCGCCTCATGGGCTGTGGCTAGAGCAAGGGAAGACTCCTGTAGCAAAGGAGGCATAGTCTGCAACACTAAATACATGCAAAGCCAGAAGAGGGGACAGGGAAACCCAGCTGCATATTTTGTACAATTATATACACACAGTGCTACTTCATGGAAGGATCTAGAGCCCAATCTCTCTGTCCATGGAAGAAAATTGGAAGTCCTGTTGGTGTAGGTTTGCTTCAACCATGGAGACCTTCTCTAGAGGATGCTCTGCACCATTTGATTAGACACACAAGAGGCTGGGTATAAAACCTGCCACTGTCTTCTGTCCCAACATATGGGCTGCCCCATGCTGGGTCACATTCCAGATGTATAGCTGAACAAGACTAGATGGCATATGATAATTGTACCTCCAGCCACATGACATGGTAGGACACATGTTGCAAGACATCTGGGAATTATGTCCTCCAGCTGGATTACTTTCAAAGTGAGGGTGGCCTTGCCAGATAAATAGCACAGCTGCAGTACAGCTTCTGTCCCATTAACTGACCTAAATGTCTCAAGCAGCCAACAACAGATCCCAGATCAGGCTAATCAGTTAAATTTAGAACAGCATGGGAACACAGAGAGAGAAAAGCTGCAGTGATTCTCCACAGATGTGTTATGTTTAGGCAATGTGGAAAAAGTGAAGTGGCTATTACATGGGCTTTGCAGTCAGTATGTAACACAACAGGTCAGAGGACAGACCCTTCAGCATTTTCAGCAAAACCTTAACAAATTTCATGGCAAAAATCATCTAATATATTCTAGGGGCAGGAAGTACTTCACTTTGACTCCTGGAATCCACCTTCTTGACAAGTACAACTTCAAGCTTCAAGACAGTGGTGATGAAGTCTCCAAAAAAAAAAAAAAAGGCAAAAAGGCAGAGAAAATTAAATCCTATAACTAGTTTCTTCTGATCTGATCTGCAAAAATGGCAGAATTTTTTAGACTTGAAGGTTACACTTAAGTCTGAAATGGAAGTAAAGCATAGGCAATTTCAGCCTTGAGGATTAGGTTTTGGCCAAGCTATTAGCACTCAGAACTGGGGCTCATAATCAACATTATCGACTGGATAAAGGTTACCAGTGCCCATATTGTGTGAGAAAGTATCATTGCCAATGTTTCTGTTCAGATTTGCAACCATCAAGGATGGTTTATTGTTCTTCATACTTTGTAACTCTGTCTTCCACTGTTATTGTAGACAGAAATGTTTTGCATTTAAAGTCATCAAGACTGGTCATCAGTAACAAAGCACAATAAAAGAAGAAAGTGAAACAGGCTGGATTTGATTTAAAAAAAAAAAAAAATTACCTCTTGAAACATTCTCTCTATCAGTGGTTTGGTAAAACCACTTTAATTGGTGCAATTAAAAGAATAACCAGAACAACTGAAGTAAATTAAACATACAATTAAACGCTATGACTGAAACAGTCTGTAGGCAACAGTGCGCATTTTTGGTAGTGCATGTGGCTTTTTAATTTATTCATTTTACAGAACGTAATTAAAGCATCTATCTCCAGTATAGAAGATTCTTACAGCAACTTACATGTATGAATCCACAACAAACACTTCACAAAATCTCAGTCTGCCGCAGTCTGTTCACAGAAGCTTCATAAAGAGAAAACACCTAAATCTAGCTAATTTCCCAGTCCATCTCTTCTTTTTCCGGACAACTACAACCCAAAGCTCCTTTTCCTTAATTTTCTCATATGATATGGAAACTAATAAATAAGGAACGGGCAACAAGGCCAATGGCTTTTGCTTCTGTGAATGATGGAAGATGTGCTGTCACTGCCCTCCACTGATTAACATGTGATGCTTTTGCAGCCTTGGAGATTCCATCTACAGCAAAACTGCATAATGCACTTGGACAGGCTTTCAGATTGGCAGGACTGAAACCATTTCAGTCTTCTGATCAGGCTGCAGTTCCTACAAAACAACCACCTGGGAGCAAATGTACAGTCAGCATATGAATACTAACTTTCCAAAGAATTCTGCTGTATAGAGACAAAGGATGTGGAGAGGAATGTGGATTTTTTACAGAGATGAAGAAATTAGGTCACCAGGTTCCACACTGGAGTAAGATTCATTTCACTAGCTCATTGTCTTTGAAAATTCCTTTTTCCGTTCTTGGACAGACTTGCAACTGGTCTCAGTAGCAGTGGATCATGCTAAAACATAAGTATTGCAAATTTTAAGTATGGTCACCATATCTGTAATGGGCCGTGGGAATTATTATTGAAATTGTGTGGTACTTTAACTATTTGTTCTCCTGTATGCAAAGCAATCCTTCCAAAAAAAGCTGCATGGTAAAGAAAGATTACAAGCCATACAGACTGTGTTAGTTGAATGCAGAATACAACCTGTTTTTTAGCAAACTGCAATCACACTGTCATGAAACTACCACACTGATAGACCCTATCAGACCTTTTCAAGACGTTATTGTTAAATGATCAAGCAGGGGTAGATTTACTGGGAATGGCTTAGAGCTTTCTCAGTTCCCTCTCCCAGCAGAAGGGTAAGTTTTACTCCTTTGCTACCATTTAAAACAACACCCCTTTAGAAAGTAAAATGCTTTTAATCCCAATTTACAGGCAAAGAAAAAGCACAGAGATACAGAGTAAGAAAGTGAACCCGGGTTGCATACCTAATGATTGCACAGTTCTCAGTTTTAACTCATGACTCAAGTTTCTTTATCCCTGTTCTGTTTCTTAAAACACAATCTATATCCACTAAGACTCAGATTCTCAGCCATCTTAAGACACTCAGTTCAAGTTAATGAAACAGTAATACCAGAACACTTAACTACCTAGATAATCACACTTGAATACAGTGTATCTCGTAGACTTAATTATTGATTCACATTTCAGGGATTTTTTTCATTGAAGTGAGGTATAATACTTCTAACCAACTAATATTGGATCTCTCCACAGTCTCTGCATATCCTGTGTACTGCATTAGGTAGCTTGAATCCACAGTCCCCACAGCTGTCTTCCCCATTGTAGGTTTGATGATACTTAATTTAAATTTTATCATGATTAGGACTGCAAAAGGACAAGAGCTACCAACTTGAATTCACTCACATAGTGAGGTTAACAGGTGAGCAAAAAATCAGTCTTTTAAATGTAAGGTTTATTTAACAATAATGCTTGAAACCACCATGTCCAAGAAGCTTTTCATTTCTGTTCCTGAGATCTATTACATTTTGACTCCTATGCAAAACAAGCTTTACAAATTCATGCTTTCTAACCTGACTTTACTATTTGAGCCTAACTGTGCAATGATTTCTTCAGTTTGAAAATTCATAAATGCAATTGTAAGACAGTTTTCCTTCAGTAAATTAACACAGAAAGCACCTTTTCAGTAAGAGTTTGATACCCTGCCTGATCCTTCCCAGGGACATCCTTTAAGCTCATATTCACTGTTGCTTAGATCATATGTTTTATAATGCCAATATAAGAATCTAGAGAGACAGGCAGAAGAGTAGATGGCATATCAAGAAATCACTCGAACAAATTTCTCTAGGGTATTTTTCTGGATCAGTCACTTGCAGTTTGCCTGTGGTTGGTGGTGTAAATAGGATTAGAAAAAAGAGCTAGGGATTATGTGGGTAACACTAGTTGGCAGAGAGACAAATTAATCACAGAAAAGCATAGAAACCGCACCATATACTAGGCTGGATAGATGTATGTTTGAACAGCTGCTCTGCATAAGGAATTGTCAGGATGTTTAGCAAATAAAAATAAAAATAAAAATCCTTATTTGTGGTATCATTCTAATTTTATAAATTAGCACTTCACCTGCTACTTAAAGAAAAAACTGTATCTTTAACCAATGAATTTATCAATATACACAGATGGCTTAGGCTATATTTCCATAGAGGCAAAGACAAAAAAAAAATGTTTGGGAAATATCATAAAGTCTAGAGTATCTATTTGTGATGCAAGTTCAGTGTTGGACCATGAATGTGGCCAGCAACTTAGAGAACTCTATCTCTGGTTATTCTGTGGACAGTCTTAAATTAAAAACAAGGAGCTCTGTGCAATTACTAAGCATTCAGGAATCAACACCACAAAATGCTACTTATAAGATACATAAAGGTAACTACTATAAATAGCTATGCTGCACCACTTAGGAGTAAGAGCTAGAACAGAAAAAAGGGGTTCATGATTTTTCTAAGTTTTGGAATGTGTGCAAATAGGATTTTATATTTCTTATGCTATTAGTGAATAGGAAATGGAGAAGATGACATCCAACAAGAAGGCAGAATAAAGAGAAAAATATAGTGTACACGTTTTTGTACTATATACAGTCTGACTTGTCTATTGCAATGCTGCTATTTATGCCTTTGGAATAACCTTACCATAATAATACTTTCTTAGAAAAGCAATAACAAAATATGCTATTAGACAATGGATGGACTACCATCAAATATGGACTACTGTCAAATCATGTTTCTCCCTCACTTAAAAAAAATACAACTCAAATATATATATTTAATTCACAATTCATACACCAACACCTTTGCATTTTGCAATTAGTAAGGAATTTGAGAGGTAGCTGTCACACTGGTTTTGTTGTCTGATCAGCAAGTAGCAACATTTCTTCATTATCTTGGTGGAGATTTTCAAAAGACCAACAATCCACAGAAATCTGACCAACAATGAAAGTTTATGACTTGTATTCCTAAATCCCTTTTTTTTTTAAAAAAAAAAAAAACTATTTTTCTTTGAAATTTTACTTTTCTCATAGTACAAGACTTAATAAAAGCTACTGAAAAAGCTTTGCATGGGTCAATATCTTAAACCTGTGTAATAACCTGTATAATCTGTCCAGAGAGGCTGCGGAGTCTCCTTCTCTGGAGATATTCACAACCCATCTGAATCCAGTCCTGTGCACTGTGCTTGATCCTGTTTGAGCAGGGGAGTTGGACTATATGATCTCCAGAGGTCTCTTCCAATCTCAACCATTCTGTGACTCTTAGATAAATAAAATGAGCTGAGAGAAAGCCTTTTACATGGGTATTTTGACCAAAAGTTAGACACGAACGGTAAAATATTTCATGTGAGTCTCTGCTAACTATACAATTTTTTCCCTCAGTGTGAATATTGGATCAGGTAGCAATCTGATTGAACTCCAAAAGATAAGATACAGGAAAAATTTTAAAGGAGTCAAGAAAACAAAACATAACAAACAAACAACATATAAAGAATGGTTTATAAATAAATAAATAAATAAATAGTGTCTTAGAAGTTATTAAAATATAAAGTCCCTCTCATTTACCTTAAATTTTCTGAGCTGAATTCTGACTCCAGGAACTTGAGAAACTGCTCTCTTCCAACAGGGTCTTTCAAAGCTTCATCCATGCCAAAACCCCACCGCTTCACCCTCTGCTGTCCAGGCTCTTTGCTAATAGGGGAACACAACAAAACAGACCAAAACAAGATCGGACATAGTTCAGTATTCTAATACTTTGTGCATATAATTTAGATAGAGTCCTAAAATTCAACCAGAGGTTTCTCATGTTTCAGATCAGTCATATCTGTGAAATGTTCAGCAATGAGTAACCAGGCAGTCCACACTCACACAGGATAAAGATGATATGCATACACTTTCACAGAAGAATAAGGACTTCCAGCTAGAAAGCGTTATCAGATTTTAAAAAGCTGTTTGTTTGCTTTTTTTCCACCCACACGGGAACACTGTAACCTTTTACACAGATTTACTAATCCATAGCTCTTCCCATATTATGATATTAAAGCTGGAAAGACCAAAAGGATACTGCATTTCCTTCTATTTCAGTACTATACTGCAATACCTCTGTCTGACATCCTCACATTTGAAGAAATGCCTGTTAAGTATCCTTCCCCAAAAGAAGAAATAAAATTATATACCTTGCCTCCAGTTCCCAGAAAGTGGTGTCATCTGATATCCAAGGGTTTGAGGGATCAGGGGGCACAAGAAAAGGGTCATACTCCAAATACTGCTCTGTATAAGCTAATAGACTAGGAAAACAAAAGCATCAAACGTTGTCATGTCAGGAGGTGAGGGAACCTGATCAGGTTTTCTAGTTAACAAATTACCATGCATCAGTCAAACCATGGTAACCAGGTGTGTACACACTCAGAAGTCACCTACAAGCTCAAGCTAAAATAGGTTTGCTTGGTTTTGAAAGTGCCCATGCTTCAACTACCCCTGAATCTGTGGACCTCTGAAGAAGGAAGGGAGCTTCACATCTTTCTTGTCAAGAGCTGAAATAAAATAAACTACAAACTTTCCTAATATTTCCACAAAGATCCTGTTAGGGCTCCTTTAGGCACTAAAAAATTAAATCAAGCAACCTTTTCCATGCTCATTTGCTTTCATAAAGGAACATATTTTATACCCCTATGGTTTTAATTATCAGTTCCTTTAAAATCTGTTCTAAAATACTGCATGCTATTTAGGTCACATTTATTGGCCCTGCAGCTGCTGGGACTCCTTTTTTCCTCTTTTAAATACAGTTAATATTTTTATTATTTCCTAATCAAATGGCACTACTCACAAGTTTATTGCTTTTCAAAAAAAACACAAATAACTTTTTTCCAAAGTCTTCAGTGTTTATGAATTACTCTGACTCACTTAAACACACTATAAACTTTGCTTATTTTCTGGTAATTTATGTTTACCATGTACTTATTCTCACCTTCTTTTTTGCCTAATAATTATTGAAAATCGTTGAAAAATGAAACAATATTGTTTCTTTTTGTTCCTGCTTATATTTAGTCTGTATTCTTTTTTTTTGTTGTTCAGCAAACAGAAATTTCTAACCTGTTGTCTTTATAAATATATATGTTCTTGCATGTATATACATAAGTACACATGTAAAAGTAAACATACATGCACATGTATATGAAGATACATTTGTGTTTGGTTTTTTCTTTCGCTTTGTCTTACACAGCTCAGTTTTTTGCCGTTTTCACTCTCTACTTCTGGATCTGTAAGATACCGCAGTTCTTTTCTCTGTCTAAGCTGAAAATAGTCTTTCTGAAGGCCCTTTTTTTTTTTAATTATTATTATTATTATTTTTATTTGGTTTCTAGCTCCTTCCTTACATATTTTGGTCCAATTTAGAGATAGATTCTTATGTTCTGACCTGATGTAAGCTCAGACCCATTTTGCTCAGGCTCAGATCACCTAACCCAACCAGATCCCTTGTTTTGGCAGTGATTTCCCTTTTGAAATATCAAAACAGTGAACCCCAACCTATTTCCATTTAGCCTCCCTGTCAATGCAAGGGGAAACTTGTGACCACTTGGTCAGAGGCTCCTACAGTGACCTTGGTTTATCTAGCTAACATATCATGGAATATCTGGGACATCTTTATAACTATAAAAGAACTTCATACCTCACACTTTTCTTAAGTAAACTTTACAACATCTGTGCTCCCTTGTCTCTCTTTCTCTGAATTTATTTCACACTGATGTTTTCCCAATAGTTATCAATATAATTGAAAAAAACAAGATGTAACAATTTACTTACCTCTCTGCAACTTTGGACATTTTTAATCGATGTCTGTCTAATTGCATTTGCCAGTGCTTAATCTACAAGAAAGGAAAGCAAAGAGTGTTATGAGTAATTCATTGCTTGACTGTATTTCCATAACTTTTTTTGTTAGGGTTGTAATTCAACCTTGATTTACCCTAGGGCACAGAATAGAAGTATATCTACCTTAAAACTACACTTACCAGTGTAGCTCTAAAATAAATGGAATTTTCCACTGAATAGAAAAGATTATACACGGACAAACAAAACAAAACAAAATAAAATAAAAAAGAACCAATATAAAACTTTCCCTAATGGCTTATTAGATGAAATCCATTTAGCCATTTTTAGATTTTTGAAGAAAGTTACTAATTCCTCAGACTTTTACCTTCTCCCATTCCTAAGGAAAGATTAATAAAACATTACCAGCAGATAAATGTATGAACCCATACATGCATGCACTGAGCAGTAAGCATGCCTGCAAATCTCTAATCAAAATGGTAAAAGGAAGTGGAATAGTAAAAGTGAGTGAGCAGTCTACTACTAAAGGAGCTAATAGGCTTAGCTATGTAAAGAACCCATCAACGGCACTGTTCCTAACTGCCTTCAACTACTTGGTGCAAGATACAAAATATGTCAGGTTTTGTCTCATTAATTTTAATAAAGATTACATACCAAAATCCATATGTCCTGAAGCAAGTGAAAAGTTTACTAAACAATTCTGTCAAACAATCTGTTCTGAACATACTTCCCAGTTACAATAATTTTTGGTTTAATACCAACTTCCAAAAAAAAAAAAAAAAGTTTATCTAAATGTATATGCTCGTTGTTATTTTGCAAACCTCTTGGTGCAGTTCATCTTCTGTGGGAGGCTTAGTCTCTGGTACTGGCGTGTGAGTAGGGCTGTGACTTCGGATGTCATTTTGTAAACCATAGACAGACTACACAAAAAATACGAAGCAATAGTTGGTTTCAGAAAATGGCTTTTACATATGCTATTAGTAACTGTACCTTTTAGTATGTTGTGCTCAAGAAGTTATTCCAGATCACTAGTTTCTAAAGAAACTGAATAAGCCATGCACTCACATAAAACTTTGTTTTTAAACAATAAATTCTACCAAAAAAGCACAATTTCATAAGGCCATAGAACACAAGATCGACTTTTATTTTGTCTCTATATTAACAGCACATCAAACATGGGGGGTGACACTGAAAGGCAGCTATTACCGTAAATAGGGATGGCCAGCAGCAAACAACTCTAAATCCAGTTTTCTTTTTGAAAAACACTGAAATGTACGTCAAAGTGCACACTTTAAAGTTGGACTCAATCTACATCATTATGATACAAAGAATTTGATTGAAAATGTTGTTCTAGTCAATCTGTATGTCCCCAGAGATCTTAGACAGTTCATATCTTAATGTAGATGAAGAAGGTTATTTCTTCCATAGTTTCTGTGCATCTATTTGTAAACTACAGCCAGCCTTTTCATTAAGATCTGCACAAGAAGCACTACTATTATAGCTTAAACAGCGTTTTTAAATTAATTTTTCCTTAACTACTGACAGAAACTTTTAACATACTTTATTCAATCTACTAAACAACAAAAAAAAATTTTTATTTTCTTAGTCAGTATTTCTCCGAACACTTTCTTATGTGATAGCATTTACTTAGTATTAGAACCTTTGTTAACCAAACTTATTTAAGAGCTTATTAATTAACAACATACATTTATGTATTTATTTCTTGCATCAGCAAGAAAAAATGTTTTAAGAAACTATGGAACTTCATGTTATAAATTACCTCCACCTCCAGCTTTTTATGTTATAGCAATACTTACCTTTCTTGTTTTATGTGGATTTCTCATTCTTGAAGACTTTTTAATATCCACTTCAGTAGTGTTTACGCATCCAGGCTATTAAAAGAAAAATAAAAGAAAGCACAAGGATAAAATCTGGGAAATAACTCCACACAATTTCCACAGAGATACTCCTCTTCAGTTTGCAAGGCTAAACAAACAAACAACATAAAAATAAAACAACAACGAAATATAAACTAGAGGCATATTGTGATTTCAAGTTCTTCTGCAATATTCCCTACAGAAGACAGTAAAACCCGAGTGACCTAGAGCCTAAAGAAGCATCTCAAGTAGCATTTATTCTGGCTTATAGTAAGAAATATTATTTTGCTATTCGAGCTGGTTTGCTAGACTCTATGATAGTAGTTAGGACAAAGTTAGGACTGTGTATCTTTATGCTGAATGTATTGAAAGCAATGTACAGAGACGCAGAAAATATACAAATGCATACTGTATTCTTATATTTCTGCTTCTCTGCATTTGAAGAACAGACAGGTATGAGTTCAAATTAAATTGCTGTTGGTCATACTTAGTAACTGGGGAGTGAGACACCAAAGACATACTCCTGACATCATGAATCTGAAAAACAAAAACAAAACCAAACAAACAAACCAAAAAAAACCAACCACCTCTCAAGAAGTTTGTGTTTTGATTTTGTCTAGGAAGCCATGCAATGTGCATTCTAGATCTTTCTCTAAGATGCATGGTTGTCAAAATAAGTAGAGTTGTGCAACACCCACCTAAGCTGTGAACCTCTTGCTCCCTGATTTAAAAATAAAATAAAATAAAATAAAATAAATTACAAATGAGTGTCTAAATGGGATTTCTCTCTTCCAAAAGAAAGTAAACAAGAGAGAAAGAGAGAGAGAAAGAGAGAAAGAGAAAGAAAGGAAGGAAGGAAGGAAGGAAGGAAGGAAGGAAGGAAGGAAGGAAGGAAGGAAGGAAGGGAGGGAGGGAGGGAGGGAGGGAGAAAAAAAACAACTACAACAAAAATGGGCTTCCTTAGTCCCATCAGAAGGCTATTGGTCTAAACAGATCAACTTTCAACACATCTGATGTAGCGTTCGAAGAGTCATTCTCAGAATCTTTTAGCTTCCCAAAAGACACAAGTCCTCTAGTTTATTCTAATTCATCTTTCTTTGACACCTTCCTTTAAGTAAAAACTCCCTGCAGAAATCTGTTTTTGTATCCATTGCTGAAAACAACTACAAAGTGTTATCCTCCATGGTGAGTTTTACCTATTTATTTTAGAGGGATTACATATCCCACTGAGAGTGGAAGTACTAAGTCTGCTATCTAGTGAGAGTAGATTCTTAGTGAAAGTAGGTTTGTTTGTTTTATTTTTAGTGGGAGTAGCTAGACTTGGATTTTAGGTTTGCCAGACAATAAATACGGACTTTTATCAAGCTAATGACATGAACTATGTTGTCTCGTTGTAAAGTAAAATGCTTGAAAAATGTGGCTGTAAATATTAACAGCAACAAAAAATAAAATAAAATGAAACCTTCTTACATAGTCAGAGCCAAATAACAAATACATTTCATTAAATGGGACAATGGTACTTCGCCTCTGGAAAAATATATTGAATAACAGCCTAATTTTTTATTGGATGTATTATCCATTTATTTATTTATTTGCTTTGAAGTACTAAACTGATGCACGTTACATTTGTGGAATTAATAGTTCCTCATTACTAAGAATAAAAACAGGCACTGATATTATATCCTCAAGACTTCATTTGGCATCCCTCTTGAACTAGATTTGGGAAGGTATGCTTTGTGCTTGTGAATAAAAATGGTAGCTTTTAGAACCACAGAATCATAGAACAAGCCATACATAAGGGATCCACAAGGATTATCAAGTTGAACTGGCTCCAAACAGGACCACTGCTGTGACCACTGACCCGGGGAGCCTGTTCCAGTGCCTGACCACACTCCCAGAAAACTTTTTCCCAATGTCCAACCTGCACTTTCTCCTGTGTGTGATGCACTCTTTGTATGATTGTGTATAAAAATTAGAAGCAAACATGCAAATGAAAAATAGTAAAATGAAGAAAGTCCTTGTCTTAGTTCATATCCCTTACCTCACTAAGAAGAGTACACAGTGGTAGTAACTAAGAATATGACTTTCACCTCTTTGTTTTCTAAGTTCATTGCTTTTATTGCTTTTTCTTAGTTTTAAACAAACATTTCTTTCAGCTGACTTGCAACATAGCTTGAGGTAGCTTAGTAAGTGGGACTACTTTGGTTGGTCATAGCAACACAGAACTATGATACTGTTTGCTCACTAGTGTTACTATTAAATTACAGCAACTGATCATTAGTGATATACTCAATTTGCTCCTTACTCCAAACATAAAAAATCAGTTTAAATGTTTCTGATTGAAAGACACTACAGCCTAGTCATGGAAGACAAAGAAATTAGTACATCATAGGATTGTTATTAAAGTCTCTTAGCTTCAGATTAGAAGTCTGAATAACATTTGGAAAAAAATGGCTAGTAAATGGAAAGAATCTGTCTGTCCTTGCTCAGGATGGTGGTAAGTGGAGGGCACCTACTTTTGCACAATTTTCCCTGTGAGCCTTAGGGAAGAGTTAGAAGTTGTCGTTTGTGAATTCTAAAGGGTTTTGCAATGATTGTCCGTTAAATACACTATTCTTAAAATATATATATTAAATGCAATGCTTTTGATACTTTTTGTTTCACTTATGGCCTTGTCTTTATAATTGTGTTGATATTTTTAAAATGCACAGGCACTTTCATTTTTTTTCAAGCAATAATTTTGTTAGAAACAGAAGTCTCCAGTGACAGTCACTGAAAAGTTGATGTTGAAAAAAAAAAAAAAAAGTTTTTATCTGCCATTTCTGGTAAACTGTAACTCTGAATGCAAATTAAGGAAAACACATCTCCACCAAAGTCACAATTATAGAGAGGTTTGAATGGGAAATTTCATTATCAAGTAGAAGTAATTTATGAACAAATACAGGTGTGTAATTTCTTTCTTCATGTTTATTTTCCAGGGCAGAGAACAAAAAAGTCAGATTACATTATTTTTTTTTTCTCCTTTGACTTTTTCTTTTCTCTTCTACTATAAATTTGTGTGATGCACCAGGAAAGCTTTTTTTTTTCTTTTTTCTTTTTTTCCAGAATATTTACATACTTCTTTTGCTTACTTGTGAAAAAGGAGAATCCTGTACAGAGATTAGTGTCTAAAAGCACTTTTTGTTGTATAACAGTTACTATAGTGAACATATCACATGCATTCAAATTTTTTAGGTCAGTACAGACTGTTAATATCCCATACATTCAGAGATCATTTTTTCATAAAAATGGAATGTCCATAAAACATAACATTATACCATGTTACATAAGAGGGTTTGTATAAGTCTAATGCAGAGTACATCTGAAATACTTTTTTCCTTCAGCAATCAATATTCTGTCTGCAGTGTTGCTTTTCTCTGCAGATCTGTTGACAATAAATTCTTTTGCACTGTTTTCCATTGTTGTTATCACTGAAACAGCTCACCTGGTGGCTTTTTAGAATGAGAAAGGACAGTGATTTAACAATATTTTGTCTCCCTGTGAGTACTGTTAGATGATTAAACTGTCGGGGATCATGTCCCACTGTTGAATTTACACTGTTATAGTTAGGATGGTATTATTTCAGGAGGAAAAAAAGATTAGTGCAGTTCTACCCAGAGATAATTGGGTCTTTTGTCTTTTAATTATGTAATAACTGAGCCAAACATAATACTTTTTGCACCACAAAAGCTTTTCTTCCATTCAGCAACAAAAGTTAATTTTCATTCTTACTGAGCATTACAACTCAAAATAACTTGTAACTGTCAAAGACAATGATAGGTTGAAAAATACAGAACCCTGCATGATAGCCAATTTAAAGGTAGAAGGCAATTTCACAGGGCAGTATACTGAGATACAAAGTTAAAAAGAAAACAACACATCTACTTTAGGATTACATCAGTATCTGGCAGTGAAGAAGACATGGGCTTTTAACAATATTTACAGCCCTTGAATGCAGCAATTTGAATAGCTGGCACACTTACATAAGATACAAACTGTTGTGTTTTCCAATTTGTTCTGTTTGTTTTTATTTCGCTGTTGTTTTTTAATTATTTTTGTTTTGTTTTGTTTTGTTTTAGAAATATGCCCTAAACAACAACAAAAAAAGGCACAAAACTCATCTGAAGCCTCTTAGTGTGAAAGATTTCAAGTCCACAAGCACTGAACAGGTATGAACAGATCTAGCACCTTGCCCAGGTAACTTGCATGGCCAGACTTCTGTTCTGCAGATTGATGCAAAGGACATAACGGGAAATTCTGGGAGATTTGTAGGAATTAAAGAAGGTCAAAGCTTATGCTCTTTGGAAGGAGACCCAACCCAGTACTGAACTTCTACAGTGTCTCATAGAATCTTACAGAAACTTGGTTGTTTACAACCTCTCAGGCTGCTGTAAATCTGCTGTGGCACAGCAGGAGCAGCAGCAGGAAGATACAGGCACGGGAACTCAGGAAGCTTCAGTACAATGGGGAAGGCAGTGAAAGGGCATATAAGCACATAAGTACATATAACATCCTCAGTTAACAGTAGGGGCTTAAGACTATATGTATATGATATATAGGTATCACTATATATAAATAGTGATATATATATCACTACCATTATAATAGTGTTCTCAGAATCTGATTCAAATTACAGCACTGGAAGTACCTAAAAGAATTGGGGTTACAATTCGTGTTTTATTCTCAATTAAAGTATATTTATTGAAGTGATACTTGATACGAGATGGTATTTCTTCTTTCTGTGGTGCTGCCACAGTTCATCTGTTAATATTTAGGAATAAATACCAAACATCTTTTCAATTAAAATAAAAACAAAAGCTTGCATCATTTGAACATCTTGCTAAAATAATTCGAAGTTTTTGTGGGAAAACCTTTGCTGGACAACATTTCATTTTATTCGCATGCCCTTATTAACATAATAACTATGTGTTTGGATACAATTACATCCAGCTGTGTTTTCTTTTTGTGTTGCTTTTTTAACTGGACTACCATAGTTCAAATAGTGAGATGCCTGTCAAAGTGCTCGGCTGCAAGATTCCCATTTAGTGTTTAGTATATAATTTGCATACTAATACTGTTAATAGTTTTCAAACAGATTTCCTGGAAGACTTGAAGCCTCTTTTATATGAGTAAATAGAGGGCTTATTTCTTTCAGGACTAATATTCAGTATAAAAACAGCAGTGCCCCTCAACCTCAAGCCACACACAAACAGGAATATCTCATGACCTTGTTGAAATTGTCATATAGCAAGATTGTAACCGGGGTAGAATTAGGCCCTCATCTGTTATTAAATATGGTGTCTAAAATACTATCACATATTCAAAGGAAAATTATTTTCTTTTCATCCATCAGTTAACACTTCCTTGTCTTGAAGTAAAAATGTCATTGTGTTCATTTACAGCAGAGGACCTGCCATTCCCCTACCAGCACTACTTTCTATTGCTGCTGTCTAGGAGGCTACATAGGATTCCACCAAGAAACACAGTGGAATGATGAAACCTCCCTTACTTTACATCACTCAGTTGGTACATTGGAAGATTTTATCTGCTTGGATCTGACTAGAGCTCACATTTTGAAATAAAAACTAAGTAAATAAATAAATAAATAAAAGAGGATATGTTTAGTTAAAAAAATCAATTGATATTCATTATCTTTCCTTGATAACAGTGGCAACAGTGAATCAATTATTAAGCCTTTGTAATAGCACTAACAGTGCTATTTTTTGACACCTTTGAAAGCAACTTTTTGGAGATAGTCACATAGCCAAAATCAATTGCTACCAACACCTTTTTATGTAACAAAACCTTTTGCTATGATCTACTTGTAATTCTAGTAAGTATAAAATCCTCAGTGGAAAGCAAATTGATGTTTATAATGATTATCAGTTTAAGTTCCAATGTCATCTTCTTTCTTAAAGAATATGTCAATTTAACTGTGAATCTACTTAACCCAGAATAACATGAAATTTCCTTGTATGTAAGACAAATAAACTCATATATGTGGGAGGGATTAACCTCATGCATTGCAATAGGCTAGGATTTGCCTGTCTATGTTGCTTCTCTGCAGAAGCTGATCTGAGGGAGAAGTTGAGCGTGAGTCAGCAGTATGTCTTTGCAGCAATGCAGGTTAACCACAGACCCAGCTGCATTAGCAACAGCACAACCTGCAGGCAAAGGAAATGGTTAATTCTTTTGCTCAGCATCTTGAGGACACATATGTAATCCCATGACCATTGCTGAGTCCCAGAAGCAATACCAGAAATATATTTCAAATGGAAAAATCCAGTGGAGAAACTTTTAGATGATCAGAATACTGAATGTTTGACATACCAACAAAGGCTGGGGGAATTGGACTTCTGACTTTCAAAAGAAGAAAGCTAACTGTTGTGTTCTGCTGCCTAAAAGGGGACTTGCGGAGCTAGACTTGTTCCACAGGCGCACCATGAAAGGCCAAGAGGCAACTATCAGAAATTGAAGTAAGGAAAACTCCAGTTGGCTCTAAGGGAAATATTCTTCTTAATAAAAGGAAGAAGCTTAGGCTTCAGAATCTCTGTCTTTGGTTATTTTGAAAACAAGGGCCTGGGCAATGTTATTCAGTTTAGAAGTCAGCACTGCTTTGAGTAGGTTGTTGGACTAGAGAACCTACAGAGGTCCCTCTCAGCACATATATTTTGTGATATAGCCTATGATCTTTCCAAACTGCAGGGACTGAAATTCAACTAATTCACACTATGGAACACCCCAATCAGGTACTCACAGCAGTGTGGAATTCATCACACTCTATTCTTCTCCCAAGAACAGAACAAAAAGTAAAGACCGGTATTTGCTTCCTCTGCTTTCTGGCATCCTTCTGTCTGTGTTCTGTTCTCAACCCGAAACAACAAACTTAGGGATGATTTAAGGAAAACTAAATTTCACAGCCTCTTCAGCTAAAACAGCATATTTAAAATAATTACCTCATTTCAACATGTACACCCATAAATTCAGGGTGCATTAAAGCAGTAAATACTAAGCAGATTGATTCATATCATTTGCACGATTTCATTACATTTCGATGTCAATTCACTTTGAAATAAATCTTTGTTTTGCAATTAGGGGCTAATTGATTAAGAGGAATAAAAAATAATAAATTTCGAGATCTACGGTTTTTCCAAATTTAAACACTACAGATTTAAATAATCACATATATATGAACATGTCAGATCTTGGCATCCACTTCAACAATATGAAATAATGAACAGAGCAAGTCAGACACACAAATGTAAAGACAAGGCAGAGATTTAATACTATCTTTTATATTATTTTTAACAGCAGACTATCACAAATACAGTAAGCTTAAAATTTTAAATTTCCAAATCTCAAACATTAGTGTTTCCTATGTGAAAATCTATTCTGCTATTTGTCATTGTTCTTATTTTTGGCATTTTTCTAGGAAAGGAGTCTTATAACCCTCAAGTGTCACTATTGATATCACTCACTTCTAAATGAGGGAAAGGAAGCTAATTAGATAATGAATAATAAACAGAATACCAGAGTTCATTTTTATCTGTCATTTTTATATTCCAGTTTACTAGTGTAGATAGCTAAACTTTGCCCAGTTAAACATCTGTGAGAAAAAAGAAGGAAAGAGAATGAAAGGTTATGAAAAAGAAGTGAGAAAAAAAAAAAAAGCTGGTGCTCAGTTGAAAAAAAAAAAGAAAAAAGAGGAAGCCCCAGTTTGACTCTGGCTATGTGGGAAAGTTTATTTTTCTCAGTCAAAGTCTAGCATCAGAGGAGACATTAAAATCCTTTATTGAGCAAGTTGTCAGTAATGCCTAGAAGTGAGTATCTCACAGCAAAAAATACAGGCTATATTCTCCTGCAATGTAGTAATTTTTCATTTCCCAGAGATGCAAGTTATTGGAGTGTGCAAAATCTGCCAAGGCCTATAAGGAAAGGTTGATGTTTAAGTAAGATTATTTGGATATTTTGTTTTTTACCTCATTTTACTGTATTTTACACACTTCAAGGTCCAAGAGTAAAGAGGCTGCTGCAGAAGAGCTGGACTGTTAATGACTTTGATGGTGCAATAGAAAGTCTCAGAGAAGTATTTCAAATGTGCTGAGTGTAGCTGGTCAGATCTTTTAACAGGATTTAGAAAAGCAGGTGTTATCTTAAGGTTCAGTTAAAGGGGGGTTGCACATTTCCAACATTTTAAAACATTTTCAGAAAACTGTTTTTCTGGCAGTTATCTGATGGAACCTGAAAGTTGTTTTACATGTAGCTCCCTTCATAACAATTACATCAATCAGCCTCAAATAATTGTCAAAAAAATAAATCCAGTAGACATAGATTAAAGTCCATTATGGCCACCATGGGAAAGTTACAGAAATTGTAAAAAGTATATACATTTGATGATGACTTTATATATGGATACTATCAAGCTCTTTCACATCCCTAGAACTCCAGACCAAATACATCTAGGATCAGGTCATAATTTTTCTAGTTTGTCCTATGGATTCTCTTTTCTGTTTCATATTAGCTCATCTGGGAAGTACAGTGATACTTTCCAATTAACATCTATAAATTATATGTAATGATCAGGAGGCAAATCACAACATTGTTTACAAGTACAAATTCTGTAGAAGCATGTTTCAAATTTCATTCTGAGATGTCTCGCAAATTTGGCACCTAATCAGGGGAAAATTATAAAAACCCTATACAAAATATTGGCATTTTCCCTCATTTCTTCAACCTTTTCATCATTGATTTTAAAGGATGTCATAGAATCATAGAATCATAGAATATCCCGAGTTGGAAGGGACTCGTAAGGATCATCAAGTCCCAATCCTCGCACTGCACAGGTCTACCCAAAAGTTTAGACCATGTGACTAAGTGCACAGTCCAATCGCTTTTTAAATTCAGACAGGCTTGGTGCTGTGACTACTTCACTGGGGAGCCTGTTCCAGTGTGCAACCACCCTCTCAGTGAAGAACCTCTTCCTGATGTCAAGCCTAAACTTCCCCTGCCTCAGCTTGACGCCATTCCCGTGGTTCCTATGGTGTTTACAGAGAATAGGTCACCTGCCTTTCCACTCCTCCTTGCAAGGAAGTTGTAGACTGTGATGAGGTCCCCCCTCAGCCTCCTCTTCTCCAGGCTGAACAGGCCCAGTGCCCTCAGCCACTCCTCATACATCTTCCCCTCTAGGCCCTTCACCATCTTTGTCGCCCTCCTCTGGACACTCTCCAACAGTTTAATGTCCTCTTTGTACTGTGGTGCCCAGAACTGCACACAGTACTCGAGGTGAGGCTGCACCAGTGCAGAATAGAGTGGGACAATCACCTCCCTCAACTGACTAGCAATGCTGTGCTTGATGCACCCCAGGATACCATTGGCCCTCCTGGCTGCCAGGGAATGCTGCTGGTTCATATTCAACTTGCTGTCAACCACAACCCCCAGATCCCTCTCTGCGCGGCTGCTCTCCAGTGTCTCATCGCCCAGTGTGTTCATTAAGCCAGGATTGCCCCGTCGCAGGTGCAGGACCTGGCACTTGCTTTTGTTAAACTTCATGCAGTTGGTCATCGCCCAGCTTTCCAATCTGTCTAGGTCTCTCTGCAAGGCCTTTCCACCCTCATCCGAGTCCACAACTGTTCCAAGTTTGGTGTCGTCAGCAAATTTGCTCAGAACACCTTCTAGTTGTACATCCAAATCATTTATAAAAACATTGAAGAGGACTGGCCCTAAAATGGAGCCTTGAGGGACCCCAATAGTGACCGCCAGCCAGCCAGATATAGCCCCATTTACCACAATCCTTTGAGCCCTGCCCACCCATTGTATGGTGTTTTTATTTAGCAGTATGGTGGACATTTTGTCCAGTAGGATCCCACGGGAAACCATGTAAAAACCTTTGCTGAAGTCCAAAAAGATCACATCAGCTGGTTTCCCTTGATTGACTAGATGGGTGATCTTATCACAAAAGGAAAGAAAATTTGTTAAGCATAACCTACCCCTCATGAACCCATGTTGGCTGGGAGTGTATTATATGTATTATGCTATTAAATAATACATATGACAAAGTCATATGACAAAGTGACAAATGACAAATTGACTTCTATGACAAAGTGACGCACTTGGTGGATGAGGAAAAGGTTGTGCATGTGGTCTACTTCAGCAAGGCTTTTGACACCGTTTCGAAAAGCAGTCTCCTCAAGAAACTGGCTGCTTGTGGCTTGGACTGGCATACGCTTCATTGGGTTAAAAACAGGTTGGATAGTCAGGCCCAAGTCAAAATTGTGGTGAATGGAGTCAAATCCAGTTGGAGGCCGATCACTAGTGGTGTTCCCCAGGGCTCGGTACTGGGGCCAGTCCTCTTTAATATCCTTATCGATTATCTGGATGAGGGGATCGAGTGCACCCTCAGTAAGTTTGCAGATGACACCAAGTTAGGTGTCGATCTGCTAGTGTGTCAATCTGCTTGAGGGCAGGAAGGCTCTGCAGGAGGATCTGGATAGGCTGGACCGATGGGCTGAGGTCAACTGTATGAAGTTTAACAAGGCCAAGTGCTGGGTGCTGCACCTGGGGCACAATAACCCCAAGCAGAGCTACAGGCTGGGAGATAAGTGGCTGGAAAGCTGCCTGGCAGAGAAGGACGTGGGAGTATTAGTCAATAGTCGGCTGAATATGAGCCAGCAGTGTGCTCAGGTGGCCAAGAAGGCCAACGGCATCCTGGCTTGCATAAGAAGCAGTGTGGCCAGCAGGTCTAGGGAAGTGATTGTCCCCCTGTACCCGGCTCTGGTGTGGCCACACCTTGAGTACTGTGTTCAGTTTTGGGCCCCTCGCTACAAGAAGGACATTGAGGTGCTCAAAAGAGTCCAGAGAAGGGTGACGAAGCTGGCGAGGGGTCTGGAGAACAAGTCTTACGAGGAGTGGCTGAGGGAGCTGGGTTTGTTCAGCCTGGAGAAGAGGAGGCTCAGGGCCGACCTTATCGCTCTTTATAAGTACATTAAAGGAGGCTGTAGTGAGGTGGGGGTTGGTCTATTTTCCCATGTGCCTGGTGACAGGGTGAGGGGGAATGGGCTAAAGTTGTTCCAGGGGTGTTTTAGGTTGGATGTTAGGAAGAACTTCTTTACCGAGAGGGTTGTGAGGCATTGGAATGGGCTGCCCAGGGAAGTGGTTGAGTCACCATCCTTGAAGGTCTTTAAAAGACGTTTAGATGTTGAACTTAGTGATACGGTTAAGTGGAGGACTTGTTAGTGTTAAGTCAGAGGTTGGACTTGATGATCTTGAGGTCTCTTCCAACCTAGACGATTCTGTGATTCTGTAAATACAATCTTTATGGAATACAATATAGCATAAATAATTACAGTGTTATGGATTCAGTGTGACAGTGAAATAAGTGAATACAATTTGGAACACAGCTTTCATGGAACAGGCTCAAATTTAGCTATATTCCTGAATTTGAATCTATTTTTAAAATATGACACATCTTAAAAGATGCTATAACCATCACTGAAAACAGTCTACAGACCATTTGTTGTAGAAAATCTACAGTAAAGTAATACTATGGAAACAAATTAGCCTTAGAAAGCTTAACTGCTAAAACTTGCCTATATGAGCTAATAAAGATTCACAACCTGTTGGCTTTTAATTACATTAATATATCTTTTCTATTTTTGTTATTAATTTATTGAACTGATGTTTCAGGTCCCAGAATATTCAATGTCAAACTTTAGTGAACCGATTCCTACAAAGGAAGGACTGTCTTGGTAAGAATTAATAAAAGCTTTGTTAGGATTTAGTGTTCTTTCCTGTTGGAGGTTTTAACAGAGAACCATACAGGCAGCATAGAATGAAATTAAATGCTCGATACATGTCCTCGTTAGCTAATTTTATTTTGACTTATGAAAGTACAGAGATATAAAGTTACAGACTTATTTATTAAATTGTAATGAATGACCAATAAACCTGCTTGTGTCATCCACTGGAAATATACTGATGTAGAAATAATGATTATTGATAAACTGCAAATACAGGCATAACCATTCAAGTGTAAGTTAAACCCGCTATAGACAATCTCTTGTAGAGGAGAGGCAACTTGCCATTTGAACCAATTTGTAAAATCAATACTTGCTTTATTAAAGGACTTATTTGAAGATCATTGGCTACTATTAAAAAATGGCAGAAGGTGCCCTGTTGCTCTGCTCTGCTCTGTTTTGAATTGACTTAATCGAAATGTGGCAAGGAGTACAATCAATGGATAAAAATTTAACTACAAGTTGTCAAGGTGTTTTTCTTGTTTGGACAAGAAAAATGTGGTTCCAAGACCATCAGAAAAAAAAAAAGAAAAAAAAAAAGAAAAAAAAAAAGAGATGTTTTATCAAATAGTTTGATAAAACTTCAATTATGTTTGCAGTATG